TAACAATATAAAAGAACATAAATTATCACATTTTAAGCAAAGTCAGTATTAAATTATTTTATTACAAATGTACCTTTGCGATTTGACAAAAGCTACTGGCGGGTTCGGAATGTCCAATATTCGATTTTACCGAGCCCATCAATAACGGAGTGTTTCTTTTAGCACATATAGCCTGGTCGATAGACATAATTTCTACGGGATCACCAGCAAGAGTACCAGTTGCATGGGCCTCCATGTAAGATAACTCACTGGGCATGATTTCACATTCCTTATAAAATTCATCCAATAACATTTTTTGCTTTTCGACCGATGGAAAGGTAATACCTTCTTCTTTAAAACCATCGCAATTTATTTTACCGTGTACGAGGGTTGCATATATTCTTCTTGCATTTTTTGCCTTTTGCAGATATACTACAGCGATCGTTTCGCTACGCATATATCCAGTGCCTTCCTCGTCAAAGGGTTTACAATAACCATCAGAAGATAGAACCCCTAGAAGGAAATTAATTCATGTTATTAAATAAAGTTCTTCAAGCTTCGATTCAATATCTAAATGTAAGGATAGAAAGGAAGCATGGGCTTATTGAACATTATAGACAAAGAGTTTGATTGTTTCACACAGCACGTTATTGGATAAACAAAAACGTAAAATATATAATAACATAATCTTAATATAATTCGCACACAACAAGAGTTTGTTGATTTTGATCAATTTAAAATACGAGGTTATTTTTGTCCGATTTGACGTGGGAATTGCTCAGATATATCGTATTAATATAACAAAAACGACATATGATCAATGATTATTTAAAATCTGAAATTTATGTAAAGGTGGAAATAAATGAGATATAAATAAGCATATCAAAAAATGTTTATGATCCATACAATATATAATATACACTATAATAAGATATAATAAATACATACCAAGATGGTAAAATTGAAATTGTACATGAGGATTGAGGCATAGATTGGCTGAAGCGATAATGGCCGCGTCGCACTCTCCGGACTGAATCAGCTCGTAAGCTTTCACTACAGCATAGCTACTTGAACTACATGCAGTATCAATATTATGTGACTGTCCAATAACGCCGAGCCAGTAAGAAATTTTGTTTGCCATGAGAGAAACGTTGCATACAGTCATAGGCAATTCACCAAACTAATCACAATACATATTTCTAAATATATTTAAAGTATTAAATGTACAAATAATAAGTTAAAAATTAAATATTTATTTTTTTAACTGTTTAAAAATATTGTATAATTTTTATACATTTACATAATAAAATGGGATTTCTATGCTTGCAACAATTTTACACATATAGTTATTATTTAATAACAATGGAATTTCGCTCGACAAAGCAACAGCTAAGTAGTTTAAAACGGCCAAAATTCGAGCAATTAACACAGATGTTAAAAATATATTTATAATACTTCAATAACGGTATACAGTCGTGTTTACGTTTCGAGCCTTATTTGGCCTTCTTCAGAACAATAAAAACGTATGAAGAATAACGCATTACAATATATCGACTCATTTTACAAAAAAGGAATCAGATTCGATCTAACGCTACAGTTTACATTAATCAGATATTACCCATGTATAAGAACGATTAGTCATAGTGAAGTTGGAAGAATATAGCGTCAGGTATTCGTCAAATTACAAGCAGAGAATCGGTTGTTTCTTTTGTTGCATGACTTATGTGTGTCCATAAAACCCGTGCAATTGTAAGACCTTTGTCGCCAGACCGTCTTAGTGGCAACTATATGGAAAGTTAGAAATTCCGTAAAACAACGTGAATTTAATTATTGAGTTTTGTCTCATAAACGGACTCACATAAGCGATCAATGCAACAAGGACGGAGGTGAATTTTTTCCATCGTCTTCCAACAGCGTGTGCTCATCGCGAAGGATTACAGACGACTGAGATAATGCTCGCGTCGCAAGGGCACAGCAACCAATAGTCATTGTTATTAAAAAAACATTTATGATAACAAGTTCAAAATATCAAAATAGGCATCGTTCAATAATTTCGTGTCCTTGTGTCCTTTAAATTTATACCATTTGGCTGCTCTTTAATGTGTATCATTTCTGCGGTCAATCTTTTTTTGTAATTATGCTCAATTTCTAAAATGCGTGCATTGTCCCAATCAAATGAATGATTGAATTTGGTAATATGTTCTGAGACAACCGAATGTTTGGACTCATCCAATCTGATATTGCCTTTATGTTCCTTTAATCTAGTATATAATTGCCTCTTAGTCTGACCGACGTAAGAGGCATCACAATTTTTGCAACAGATTTTGTATATTACGTTATTGTTGGAAAAATGGGCGTCAATAATTAAATTCACGTTGTCTTACAGAATTTCTAACTTTCCATATAGTTGCCACTAAGACGGTCTGACGACAAAGGTCTTACAATTGCACGGGTTTTATGGACACACATAAGTCATGCAACGAAAGAAACGACCGATTCTCTGCTTGTAATTTGACGAATACCTGACGCTATATTCTTCCGACTTCACTATAACTAATCGTTCTTATACATGGATGAGATCTGATTAATGTAAACTGTAGCGTTGGGTCGAATCTGATTCCTTTTTTGTAAAATGAGTTGAGATATTGTAATGCGTTATTCTTTATACGTTTTTATTGTTCTGAAGAAGGCCAAGTAAGGCTCGAAACGTAAACACGACTGTATACCGTTATTGAAGTATTAAAAAATATTTTTAACATCTGTGTTAATTGCTCGAATTTTGGCTGTTTTAAACTATTTAGTTATTATTTCTTTAATTTCTATTAATTACATATAATTGTATATAATCATTGAACATATCTCACTTCAGATTTAAAAGAAAAATACGATCGAGTCCCAGACACAGAAATTGCTGTAAGAACACTCGTTCTTGTTCCCTGTAATTCTTTTGGGTTTACGCCAGCATCGATGATTGCTTCGTAAGTATGCTCGAGTAACGTTCTAATCATAGGATCCATTATATGAGCTTCTGTTGCGGGTATATTGAAAAATTCTGAATCAAATTTCTCGATATTGTTGACTTTACCAATTCGATGAGGCATATTATAAGCTATATACAAAATAAATAAATATATTAAAAAGTAACAAGTAAAAGAAGGCTTTAACAGTACAATGCTGTTGACAAAGCGTACGTTAACATAAAAGTTAACGTTATAATAACTAATATATAATTATATATCGGACATTTCGGCTTTGTTTTAAATTGTCAAATCTTCAGCGGTGACAACTGAATCAAAATAATCTCATACTCTCCAACGAGAAATAATTTTAAAATTTGGTGGTCTAAAAGTAGTATAATCTGGGAGAAAATTTAAGTAAAACTTAGAGCCTCCGCACAAGACTCTCGTATTGTAACGTAGCGTAACGTAACATGGATCAACGCACAAGAAATGTATCAATTACGGCGTTGTACGTTTCTTGTGCATTGAATTACGTTACGTAACCTTACCAGACAAGAGTCTTGTGCGAAGACTCGTAGCCTATCCCTATAATATCACAGTTTATAATATAATCGAAATAGAAATGACAGTCAGAACTTTAACAACAAGAGAAGTAAATTAAATTACCCATCAGTTCATAAAATGCGAAAATGAGATCATATTTTATAAGAATATTTATATAACACTAAGGAACACGGATTTTTTGTCGGGCCAATGGCAACTGATTCTAATAAATTTTTTTCCGTAGAATCCGAATCTGAAAACGAAAATAATGAATTGGCTCTATTTTTTAAGAAATACGGTGCTCCCGTTGTTTTTCTACAGATATTCAAAAATGACCAAAAACTGTTTTTTAGCACATAAGACTCTGTTTATTTAGAACACCAGAGCCAATTTAGTATTTTCAAGGTCAACTTCTTGTTCAGCGGAACTAAATTAGTAAAAAATACCTATTCCCTTAAAAACAATCTGAAAACAATAAAATTTTGTTGACCAGTAATATACAGGGTGTCCGAAAAATCGCCTACTCCACTTCGGGAGGTGATTCGGGACCCAAAAACAAGCAAAAAAGTTCATACAAACATAGGTCCGGAAATGAGCCGTTTCCAAGTTATAGCCACTTTTATGTTCAAAAATCGTAAATTTTTATTTTCAATTTTTTTTAAATTACAATTACCAAATTCTCTCAAGTTTCTGTCTACATTTCAAAAAGACGCTATTCTCGGTACATCTCGATTTGGAAAAGACTGGATGTATAATCTTCTTGCCTCGGCAGCATTACTTTGAGCAAGACCATACATAAGATGCATATCAGCTAATTCATTAAAACTTAAACGATCCATTGATGAATACGGAAAGATTAGATACAACCTAAAAGTAAGGTGTTGTTAAATAATAATTTGAAACTTATTGAAAAGCCGTGATTTACTTACTGATTTTGAATAGGCGTGAAAACAACTGATTTCAAGTAGCCGTGAAAACAACTGATTTTGAATAGCCGTGAAAACAACTGATTTCTTTTTAAAATAATGTAATCGTATTTACAAATATTAAAAAATTAAAAAAAAATTAAAAAATTAAAATTAAAAAAATTAAAAATATTTAAAAATAAAAATTTTTAATTTAAGAAATAATTAAGAAAAAGGGATGCCAAGCGGATTCTAAATTACGATTTTTGAACATAAAAGTGGCTATAACTCGGAAACATTTCCGGACCTATGTTTGTATGAACTTTTTTGCTTGTTTTTGGGTCCCGAATCACCTCCCGAAGTGGAGTAGGCGATTTTTTGGACACCCTGTATATACTTATTTCTATATAAAAAATAATAATGTTTTTAAGAATTTATAATATGCATCTGGATTGTTTTCAATTATGATATTAGAAATAACGTAGCCATAAAAATGTTTGAATTAATGAAAGATAATTTATAATTTTCGACATAAATTACGAGGATTGTTTCCGTTATATATGCATGTATTGCGTATACATACGTAGAGTTACACAATTTTCTTGGATTCTGATATCGTTTTTTAAAATTATTGGATTAGATATTGCAAATCTTTAATTACGATTAATATATACGATAATATAAAAAAAATATTTTTCCTAATAAGTTTTGAAAATATATCTTAAGGAGGTTGGTTGCCGTCACGTTGCGGGGCAGGCAGCGAGAGGGGACGATTGCCAACTCTATAAGAATCAAATTTTTCGACGCGTGAAATAAACAAGTTTTAGCAAATAAACATTATATATGGAATGCATATTTAATTAGCTGTTTCTTAAGGTTTTAAATCGTTGTTTGTACAATTAAAATCAAAATACGTTAAAATGTGGCAATACGCTGTTTTATTTTTGCAATTTTTTGATAACTATCAGTCTTCGGAAAAGTATTTCCTAAATATGTAAAGAATTATTTGCATCTATTCTCATTAAATTCTTGTCATTTTTAATAGGCTTTTGAGAGTTACATTACAGGTGTCGTAACATTTTTGCTATGTCGCCCGTGTATAAGAGAGAGATAAGAGTTTATCTTTAATAATTAATTACTCGACAACCATCCAGACA